GTGCTGTAGTGCATGTTGGGAAACAGAGTACATCTTACTTCTTAAGAGAAATAATAATAATAATAATGATAATAATAATAATTCCCCAACAGAAATATTTACCTAGAATAGAGAAGATGCAGGATTTTGTAGCCTTGAGCCGGCCAGACGCCCTCCTGGCCTCAGCTTCCTCCTCGGTGTGATGGGGGTGCTGTGACCCCCTTGACATGAAGGTGGGGTGAACGGCATGGCGGCTCTGGAAGCCGAGTCCCGATGACTCTCAGGGTAGGGAGGAGAGTGGCCGGTGCCGTTAGGAGAGGCAGTTGCCGGAGCCAGTTCTGCAGCCCAGGGCTGCGGCTCTGCCACGCACAGGCAGGCCGGCTTCGTCTCCGGGTGAGACCCGCGTCCTGAGTGACGGCTCCACGTTAAATGAGGCGGTGGCCGAATTCAGCCAGTCCTCGTTCCTGAGTCCACCTGCAAATTAGATGAGACGGGAACCGGTGCGCGGCTCCGTGTGAGAAAGAAGGCTTTGGAAAGGACTGGGAAGCCACGGCCCTAAGTTCGAATCCAGCATCGCCAGCCTCTCTGCGCTCCCGCTTCTTGATGCGAGGAAGTCACACCCAAGCCAGAGGCCGCCGCGAGCAGCAGACCTGGGGTCAGCCCAGGGCCTGAGGTCAGGGAGGCCGTGCTTTCCCAGCCACAGGAAGCCCCATCTGATTGGTCCAGCTGCAGTCATGTGCTGGACTGTACACCAATCACAAGGGCCTGAGGAATGCCAGGTGCTGATTGGCTGCTGGCATGGGTCCCTGACTGCATCAGGGGAGCTGGGTGGGGTCAGGGAGGCCGTGCTTTCCCAGCTACAGGAAGCCCCATCTGATTGGTCCAGCTGCAGTCATGTGCTGGACTGTGCACCAATCACTGGGGCCCGAGGAATGCCAGGTGCTGATTGGCTGCTGGCATGGGTCCCTGACTGCATCGGGGGATCTGGGGGGTGGGGTCAGCTCCAGCCGGAAGTGGTCCTAGGGAGGTCAGGGGTCAAATACCCTGGAGAGAAGAGAGCCCAGTTTTAAGGCCAGTGTTTATCTGACCTTAGGTGTCTGAGCATAGCCAGTCTTCATTTTCCTGAAATTAGTTATAAGTCACTCTTTCCTCTCTCTCATTGGGGTTATGACCCTTCAAAAACAATTTCCAAAATTTATCCTAACAAATACATGTAGAAATTACATCAGCTCTGGGCATCAGTGAGAACCCTGAACGTTACTGTCTAAATCACTGAGTTCAGTAACTCCCTAAACTTCAGTCATGCTTCCTCTGCCTCCTGATATCAAAAGCAACTCCTTAAATTGAAGTATCAAAGTATCAATTAAGAGGATGGATTTTTTTCCCTCCACAGGTATTAGTTCAAATCAAATGTCCACACTGCTCAACGGTGCCCCTTTGCAAAGGAAATTACCTGACAAGAAATCACTGAGCTGCATTTGGCTTCCTGCTCCCAGATCGGCCTAAATACTCTCATTTTCAGTCTGTCCCAGGGGCTGGCAGAGCTACCATATATCCCATCATCACACTGTTTGGCCGTGTCCTATCCATGGATGGCCTGAGCAGGGTGTTATAAATCAGCTGTCTCAGACCATGAGTTCCTTTCCATCCTCCTTTTTAGCCAATGGCAATCCTGGAGAAGTGCCTTTGACAGCATTGGGTTGAAGAGAAGTACTTGTTGGAACAGCAAAGCAACACTCCTCATTTCCCACGAAAATGGGCTAATACTATTATCTGGACTGACTTTTCAAAGGCTGAATGTTTTGGCTGTGTCCCCACTGAAATCTCATCTTGAATTCCCACATGTTGTGGGAGGGACCCAGTGGGAAGTAATTGTCTCATGGGGGCAAGTCTTTCCTGTGCTGTTCTCCTGATAGTGAATAAGTCTCATGAGATCTGATGCTCTCTTTTTGCCTGCTGCCATCCAGGGAAGATGTGACTTACTCCTCCTTGCCTTCCACCATGATTGTGAGGCTTCCCCGGCCATGTGAACCTGGTGAGTCCAATTAAACCTCTTTCTTTTGTAAATTATCCAGTCTCTGGTATGCCTTTATCAGCAAACTGAAATGCACTAATGCAAAAGCTCTGAGTCCTCCTAAGGTTCATAGGCTAATAAGTATTATGATTCGGGAAAGGAAATGAGAATTATATTAATTTTCACTGCCCTAAAAATCCTCTACACTCATCCTTTTCATCCAAACCCCTGGCAACCACTGATCTCTTGACTGTCTCCACATTTTTGCCTTTTCCAGAATGTCATATATTTGGAACCATATTATTTAAATATAAATAAACTCTTCAGTGGGGTTTATTTTTATACATTGTGAATTTGTAACATTTTGTTGAAGACTTCTGCATCTATTTTTATGAGACAGATTAGTCCCCTGAGTCTGTGGCCATCAGAAAGTCTCGGTGAATATAACAGTACAGCAAATCCCCGAGGTGCTCCTTGTCTTGGGGGGATGCTCTCCCCAGTGTCCTGTCACTACAAAGAGAAGCCTCAGTGATGGACCGGAGCTACTTCAGCCTCAGCTGAACAATCACAGAACACATCCATCAATGGGCTTTGGCTGCATCTGCATTCCTGTCATGAAGCCAAAAGCTATTCACTTTTTTCAGGGCAGGGAGGTCTCTGACTTGTGAGATGTGAAGACCTTTCTCTCCATTTCTTTGTTCTTGTTTGATTGCTACCGCTGATTTTCCACCTGCCATTTTCAGTCTGGCTGCCTTACTGGCACTGCCTCCCTAGCTCTTTGCATTTCTCCGTTTGCTTCTCACCAAGTGTCTCTATCCTTATGCTCGTTTAGTTCTCAGCTGTTTCTCTCTCTCTCTCTCTCTGTCTGTCTCTCTCTCTCTCTCTCTCCCCTCCCTCTCACACATTGTCTGTTTCTGGATCATTTAAGCTTCCATGACCTCTTTATACAGATATTTGCTTTCTCTCTCACACCCTTCCTCCCTCCCTCCTTCATCTGTTTTTCTGCATTGGTTTTCCTTCCATCTTGCTCTGCTCTGCCTTTCTCTGTCTCCATCCATCCATCCATCCATCCATCCATTTATCCACAGTGCCTGACCAAAGGACTGGGAAGCAGCTGGACTCCATGGCTAAGACTCTCACTGCTTACCACAGTCACCAAGGCACCAGCCAGTTCACAGTAAAACCACACAGAAGAGCTTATTCATATTTAAATAAAGGCATTAATGTGGACTTGAGTTTCAACAGTTATACGCTTTTCCTCTGAAGTATTCTCTCAATGTGTCTGTCTGATCAGGTTTAGGTTTTAATTGAACAGCTGTCATTTGCTTGCTGGTTCCATGGCAACTTGAAGCTTTATTAAATTTTAATTTAGCCCAAGTTGTATATAATCAGACTTACTTAAGATAACAAAGTAACAGTTGTAGTTAAGCAGAGCCTAGCTGAAGTGCCCATCGTAAGGCACAAGGAAGGAGTTAGAGAAAACACTTCTGTGATTGTGATTTACTGTCAGGATTTGGATGTGTGAATAAACAGGGTCACCAGAATCAGAAGCAAAGGGCACAAGAATGCAGAGAATACAGACCAAAATTTAATCTCTTATGCTCATCCCCCAACCCCCAGCACATATACATACAATCTTCACTGAAACAGAGGAAGGGGAGTGATTTCAAAACTAGGCGTTCTCGTTCCCAGAGCCCATACATGTGCCCTCTCTTCTGTTCTGCTTTTCACACACCAGGTATCATCCTGGGTTTTCAGCAGAGATACCCTTGTGGAGCGTAGAGTCTATTGTGTCTAAATGGTAAGAATCATAAACATAAAAATTATTATATAATTGCAATTTTGGTAACAACCATGCAGGGAAAGACAGTGAAATCTAGTAACATAATAGGAATGTCTTAATTCACACCAAGAACAGGCAGGCACGTCCTTTTCCTCAGAAATGGGCATGCGTGCAGAGACCTGAAGGATGAAAGGATGCCAGGTGTGTTAGGGAGAGGGCTCTGCATGTGAAAGCTCAGAAGACAGAATTTACATTGCACTGTTAGAAGAACTAAGAAAACTGCAGTGAGGGACAGAGAGAAAGGAGCAAGAGAGAGCTAGAGAGGTGGGTTGGGGATGGACCACTCCATGTCAGCACATTTGGATTTTACCTTATGAGAGGTTGAATGCTATTAGCTTGTTTTCAGCTAAGATAAATAATCTGAATTATATATATGTATATATTTAAAAGAGCATCTTTCTTGTAAAGAGGCACACAGGGATCAGTTGTCCATGTGAGAGATTATGGCTAATGTGGGAGTTGGTAGGGTGAATGAAGGAAGTAGATAGATTTGAGATAAATTATGATGATATAAACTACAAAACCCCTAAGAGATCATCAGAGGAAGAAAGGAATGAATCACTTTGTGCTTGGAAAAGGAATGAATCACTTTGTGCTTTTAGAGGGAGATCTCTGGGGATTCTGGAGATGCTGGGGTGGTGGGTGTGGCAGTCAGCTCTGGTGTGCAGAGGCTTGTGATGTTCAACGAGTGCTCTTCTGCTGTTTTTGCTGTTGTCTTTCCTAATTTAAAATCACGATGAAGTCTCTTTTCACTGTGTTAGTGAGAAAATAGGCAGTCACTTCCCAAATGATCCTTGAGCCAAGATTTGAAAAATACAGAAAGGAACTCATGTGCTATGTGTGAGTCTGTGGGATGGAGGGTGGCAGGGGTGGGGTAAGGGAGAGGGAGTGGAGGTCAGGGAGGGGGAGGATGACCCTGCGCCTGGGGACTGAGAAGACATTCCAACCAACCATCAGGTTTGATGATCTCCGCCCAGGAGGGGATGCCATCCACTTGTTTAGAACCTTCCATTTTGTGTGAGCTTCTTGGCTTCCTCCCTTCGGACAACTGTCTAAATTGCAGAATGAGAATCAAGGCAGTAGGGAGCCTGGTGGCCACCCCGCTCTCCCTCGCTCCCATGGTGTGCGTGTTTGCTGATCTGAGCCCACTCCTCTCCTGTTTAGGACACCGAGGTTTTGAACACCGCCATTCTCACCGGAAAGCCTGTTTCGGTTCCCGTCAAAGTCGTGGGTGTTCAGGAGGATGGTTCTGTGGTTGACGTGTCTGAGCCTGTGGAATGCAAGTCTGCTGACGAAGACGTCATTAAGGTAAGCTGTTATCTACAGCTGTCCTAAATGTTCACAGCTTTTTTCGCCACTTCTTTTGTCTCCAAGGTCTTGTTCTGATTGAGCATCCCATGCTCTGAAGGGCTGGAGGCCAGAATGACCTCACAAAGGAGGAGACGGCTGACGGCAGAGACACCCTGGAATCAGCAGGTGGCTGCAGCAGGCGATGCTGCCTTCCTTTCCCTGGAAAGGGGAGTCCCTGACCCTTAATCTCCAGCAGAAAGAATTTCCTCCCTCCCTTCCACCTTCCTTCCTTCCCTGGCTCCCTATATGCATGAAATTCAATGGCTGTTAAAAAACATTCATCCATGTGACAACTCACCTAATATAAGGATTACCAGTGGGATACAATCACAGTTGAGAAAATTGGGCCATGGAACATTTCTGCTGTTTATTTTTATTTTTTAAAACTTTTATTCCAATTAGCTGGATTTATGATCCTAAATTCATTCAGAGTCCAGCCCTTTTTCATTTTATTTTTCTTTGCAGGTATCTGAATAACCCAATTTAGTATTTCCGTCTATTTTTTTTCTAAGGGAGACCTTGTGGAGAAAGAATTTAAAATTTTAGAATCATCTTTTCTCCTTTAAGTTGCTAAGAGAACCCCCAGGCTCAATCTATTCATTCCTTTTAGATAAATGCAATCATGCTGAGCTAAGTTCTTCATGCCATTCCACTCGCTCCTGTTTAGAGGTTCAGGGAAACTTGGTTTCAGTCTTCAGAACTTCTCGGTAGACAGAAAAGCCTGTAGGGTATTCTCCCATGGTAGAACAGATCTGAGAACAGACGATTTGTTCATGTTTTAGATCACAGCTTGGTGGAGGCTGCCAGTGAGGCTGTGCCTTAAGCCAGATCTGATTTCCATAAAGAAGCAATGACGTTTCTGTGAAGTATAATTTTTAAAATGATAATGGAAATAACCCTTAGGAAACCCCAATTTTATACAATCTGTTTCCTGAAAGTTAATTCTCCCTGAGACAGAAGGGGAAATATCTTAACAACTGTACGCAGTCCTGCCCTGGGGCTCTTGGCAGTTCTGGTAATCCTGGTAGGTTTAATTAAACAAACCAAAGCCCTTACATATTAGGAGTTTTTAAAAGTCTGGGCCATGTCATAGGCAATCATCTGCCCAGGAACAAAATAAAATTGATGACTCATTTTCCTCACTTGCCTCTGATAATATTCATTATTTAGAGTTGCCATAGCATTGTCACTAAAGGGGCCAAGAATTTTTAGAAAGACTGTATTTGCAGGCTGATGCTACTATGGGCCAAACAAATGACTTGCCTCTACAGGTCCCCTCCAGAGAGCCTGGTGTGGAGGCCCACAGGTAGAGACCTCAATCTCTTGACCTAAAGATTTCACCCTAAGAGAGGCAAATCCAAGCTCATAGAAAGTTGGATTCCACTACGCACTGTACTTGATTGTCCCCACTCTGTAGAAACATACTGAAAATACCCACTCCCCCATGTGACTTTGGAAAGTGGTCACTATATGCTTCATGGTCACTGTTACAGCTGTGTGAATATGGGACTTCCTTGGCAAAAAATGGAAGCTTGATCTCCAGGAGAACATATTGAGCCTGCAAATCACCAAACTTGGAGGCTAATGATTTCTCTGCTAGCACTGCAGAATTAACTCAATCACTATCCCTTCTTCAAGCCCAAGTAAACTCCCTAGCTGCAGCTGCCCTCCAAAATCGCAGAGGTCTTGATTTACTGACTGCTGAAAGAGGAGATCTTTGCCTATTCCTAAATGGAGAACGTTGTTTTTATGTAAACCAGTCCAGCTTTATATATGATACCATCAACAAATTAAAAGACAGAGCCCAAAAGCTCGCCCATCAGGCAAATGGTTATTCTGGACCTGGCTGTCCTGGCTGGACACTCTCTAACTGGGAGTCATGGCTTCCTCCAATCCTCAATCCTCTGATACTATCTTTCTCCTTCTCTTATTTGGACCCTGGGTTTTCCAATTACTCTCTCATTTCCTACAAAATCATAAACAAGCAATAACCAACCAGTTAATACAACAAATTCTCCTTCTAATAACCCCACAATATTAGTCCTTGCCCCGAGATCTCCCAACAGTCTAAATTCTTTCCCATTTTTAGGTCTCCAGACTACCCTCAATCCTGCTCAAAAAGCCCTAAAAAACATCGCCCCATCCACCCTCTATGCTGGTCTTCCTAATATTCCACTGCTCCCCACTCTTCATTTCTTTTTCCTTTGTATTACTAATATAAAAAGACAGAAATGTAAGGTCTGACCATGCCATGACCGGTGTGGTCATCTCTGTGACCTGCACGTACACCTCAGATGAGTTCCTGGAAGAAACAATCAACCCCTGCCGTGCCTAACTAACCTGAAACATTCTTCTATTGTTTCTTATTCCAGCATCAATTGACAAGGCCATTGGACTTTGTAACGGGGCTTGGCCAATCTCATGACTCCACAACCTATGACCCCCTCTCAGCTTGCAAACCAACAGCCCCAACCCCAGCTTCCGCAAACCACCAGCTGTAACTTCTGTAACTTTCCACTGCCCACCCCAAACCTATAAAACCAACTCCTATCCTGTTGCCCACTGCTGACGCCCTTTACGGCCTCAGTCCGCTTGCACCCCGGTGAATAAACAGCCATATTGCTCACACAAAGCCTCTTTGGGGGCCTCTTCATTCAGAGAGCATGTTTTAACACTGGGGAAGACAGAGGATGCAGTTGACAGAGTCCAGAACCTGGGAGAAAAAAACAATTTTCAGAGACTGGAAACTTAACCTAGTCTGGCAAGTTGAAGAAGGACAAAAAGTCCTACCTTTCAGTTAAGAAAGTTTTCATTACAGCATAACAGCAACATCTATGTGAAAAAATCTTGACATTTTTATAAGTAGTAAAATCCAATGAGTCAATTGAAGAGGCTGCCATGAGACTGATGTGATCTTCACCAGCATTAATCAGAACGTGGCCCCAGCACAGGTAATGCTGCTGGACTTCATGCCATATATGGCCCAGAAGGGTGTGAGTGTGTGTGTGTGACTTTTTAAAATTGGCATCCATTTCCAGCATGCAACCATTGTTAATTTCACATCTGGATTCCCAGCTCCTCTTGAAACACCATGTGGTCAGGTTGCCCTGAACCCGTGCTCTGCCTGTCAGCATCGTCTGGAGTGGACCAGTTGTCTACAGAGGCTCTCCACTCAGCTCTCTGCAGTCTCCACCACTCCCTCTCACCTCCCACATGGAGGGAGAGGGGCACTTGTCATTTCTTGTCACATTTATGCTACTGGCTTTCTGACAGTAGATTTCGGAGTGATGTGAGCTATTTCTTTTACACTGGTCTCCTTCAAAAATGAGCAAAAAATGATAGCCCTCGCTCTGTCAGTCCAACAGCGAATTCTTTCTAGGTCATAAGCAGAACAATGGGAAGTTAGATTGTGTTCCGCTGAAGAGTGTCTGTGGGCTGAAGGATTTTGAAATCAAGTCACAGGAGAAATGACTGAAGGAAGTGAGAGTGTTCAGCCTGGTGCTGAGAAGAAGGGGTCCAGGGGTAAGGTACAGGTGGAGACATGACAGCTCTTGTTAAGTCTTTCAAGGACCATCATGTAGAAGATGGAGTAGGTTTGTGCTTTTTATATTCCAATAGGGGAAGTTAAAAAGGAACCATTTTCAGCTTTCTTAAAAGAAAAAGAATGCAGAGCCCCTGAATTCTTTGGTTAAGGTTTCAGACAGATAACGTTGGTCCAAATCCTGGTTCTAGCTTCTATGTATTTGATCTTGGGAAAATTCCTTAAATTTCTCCAAGCCCAGTTTCCTCATTTATACAATGGGCATTGACAATGCTAAGCCACAGAGCTACAGTTTCTAGAGATCGGTTCAAATGGCAGTGCACGACACAGAACTGACACTCATCCAAGAAATCCTTGAAAATATTTTGGAGAATACCTAGGCTTTTAGAGGTTCCCAGGCCAATTGGTTTTTGTCTTTAATTTCTTCTTGTATTTGACCCATGTGCAAATTTTATGGGGCAGTGCATGGTTCTCACCATACACTGGTTTCACAGGCAGTGTTGAGTGGAGTCGCAGATAAGAAGGATTTGGAAGACAATGAAGATTAGTTACATTTCTCCTTCTCTATTTTATACTTCTTCATGTATTCTGATAACAAACTGTTGTCAGGTGGAAACCTACAGATAGTTTGAGCACTGATAAATGAATTATCATTAACTAGTTTAAATGTTGTATGATGCAATGCCAGTGAAATTTGGGAAAGAAAGAAAGAATAAAAGGATCACACAGCGCTTGACGTCCACGACATCAGTAAATCTTACATATGCATTTATGTTACATCCATAGCCATATCTTCCTCTCTGTCTTCTAAACCCCACTTGACTGAAGGACCCACGGAGTCTGGGCTATGTCCCTTTACTAATCAAATGCCCCCTGTGTTTGCACAGTGCCTGGTGTATACATGGTGCTTAACCAGCATTTTGAACTTAGAAATGAATGAATCCAGAGGTGAAATAAACCCCCAGAGTGGCTGTTCAATCTTTGTTGGACTATCCCTAGTGGATTTAACATCACTGAAAGTCTTCAAAAAGAGGCAGAAGGGGCTTATGCGTCAAACAGATTTGGCAATGGCTGTAGACGTGGACCTGAGTTCTAAGATGCTATGAACCAAGTCTTCTCTTGATCATATTGAGTGATTTGAATCTAGGTATACTGATTGAACATACATAATGTGGAAATAAGTGTACAAAATGTTGTGGAAGTCACAAAGATGGAATGGACATGGCTCTGCTATTGGGAGCTTACACTCTAGCTAATGAATATTGATAACTAACACTAATTAAACAGTGAATATTGATAGCTAACACATATTATGTGCCAGCTACTACAAGTGTTGATTCATTTAATTCTCATAACAATCCTTTGAGATAGAAAATAC